GAGTCTAAAGAGACTTGATCAAAATTTATAGTGGTAATTAAATATTTTTTTTCTAGAGGAATGTATAAGTGGGTGGATAGGACTGCATTTGTGAAGAGAAGACGCTCACCAAAACCTATATTTAAACCCATCTTTTTTTAACATAATTTTGATGATGTGTATAAATTCATAAAAAAAGCGCTGATAACATTCATAATAACAACTATGCCTGGATCAATCTTTGAACTGCAGGTAATGAGAAAAAAAAAGAAAAGCACTAGTTTAGCATATTCTACAAATAACAGGTCATTATATAGAAATACTGAGACTTGATATTTAGTGAACTCTATAAGTTGTAGCTAGTTAAAAGGAAAACTGAAGAATGTTTGATTAACATTGTCATATATAAGTTTTTTAAAAATTTGAAAAATGAATAGTTGAGACTTTAGATTGTTTTCTATTTGGATAATTTAAATTAAAAAGCCAACTGAAATTCAATTTAACAATTTTTGAGTTTCGATTCATGTTTGCGAATGAGAAAATACGAAACACATAATATACTAACCAGGAGTTGGTACTGCCTTGGTATTCAATTGGTGTCATGAATTGTCGTAGATCAACCGAATATGGTAATTGTGCATCACTAACAAGTCTAAAGGTACCAAATTTCGGTAGATCGGATGGTTCGCCACTAATTAAGCAGCCTCCAACACGATATTCTTCCCCTGTGTCCGGATCGACAAAAACGTCTGGGTCAGCCATCAAGACGAAGTGATTTTCGATAATCTATAACAGAAAATGCAAAAAAATATTTAGTGTTATATTCTATTTAATAAATTATGTTTTTAGCTATTGCCAACAAGAATCGAGCATAAACGAAAAACACATGCTGTAAAAATGTCTATGATTAACTCTACTTGTACAAAGTTTTTCTCGAATTCTTTGTCTCAAACCGCTAACACCCTAGGTATGCATAATCGACTATAAGGTTTACAATCGAAATGAATCATAGTCAGATCAAAATAAATACTGAAGTCTATAGAATCATCTTTTCAGTCTGGTTATGAAATAATGATATATGATAATATTAGTTGAAAAACTAGAACTTTGAATTTCATTCATCATAGTGGTATGAGACAAACAAGAGAAACAGAAATTAATAGTTCGAGCATGAAGACATTCTCTCTTGTACCGTTCGCTTTCTCAGTTAATCTTGTATTTCCTTTTTCATCTATTCGATTGAAAAATCATTCAATGGATGAACAGTTTCTAAGATACAAAAGATTTGAATGTTGAGCATCTATGATAAATTATCAAACATATGACCAACTAATGTGCGATCAATCTATTATTAATAAGAGAAAGCATTTAACAATTTGTTTATTTCAATTTTTTCTTCTAAGTCAATGTATTCACCTAGCTATGCTTTTGTGACAGAACTTTGCATTAATTTTATCTAATGATATCTTAATGTCTAATTTCTAGAAATAAGGCATATCTGTTAGCGGGAAGCAATTCGACGATACAGATGCTTGATGTTATTCATCTACTAAAATTTTCGAAAAGAAAAAAGTTCCGAACTTGAAATTACACAGAACATTGAGTTGCATATATTAAAAAATAATCATTATCTGATCAGATTTCTGAACAAAGATCTATGCAAAAGAATAGTATTACAATCATCTTGGTACATTCAATCTTTAAATTCTGTATCCTTTGTCATCGGAGCATTGGATGAGATAATAATGAATACCAAATACTTTGAGTACTAAAAACCATCAAACTATTCATTCATTTATCAAATGAAACTACCAAACACGTTATGTATATCAAATAAGAGACATAAGACAAGAATAAAAAATCCACTTAT